ATATATGTATATATATATATATATTATGATGCTACTGACCTTTGAGGATATTTTTAATTAAATAAACAAAATGGCAAAAAAAGCCCATCGGAACTCACGGCAGGAGGCTTGTTTTGCTTGTTTAGAAAGCAGCAATTAAAATTGCTTTGCGGAGGAGACCATCGGCCTAGCTCCATGGGCTGTGCAGCTCTAATTCTGCTAGTTTATGGACAAGAATTCTGGAAAGGCATTTCAGGTAGCAATAAGTACATTACATCCCGTTTATTTATTTTTTTATGTTTTATAAATGTTTTAGAAAAAAATTATTTTTTTGTTTCCATATTATTTTAATGTGTTTTAAATTTTTTTTTTGTTTCCATATTATTTTAATGTGTTAATGTCGAAAATATTTTTAAAAAAATAAAAAATACATATTATTTTAATACATTTCCAAGCAAATAATTCTTAAAAAACAATTATTACTATATAATTATATACATCTTCAGAAAAATAAATAAATAAATCCTACAAACCCAGCCAACCAGTTGTTTCACCTCATTTGTGAATATCAAGGTTTTTGCCATTTTTTCCAGGTTTACAAAGTGCCTTAAATAGCTCCATGTAGAGAATTACATCAATATATTGAACACAACTATCAATCTTCACTCCCATTTGTCACGCTTACAATAGCACATCAGCAATTTCTTGTTCAGAAATTCTATTGTTCTTCAGTTATTGCTAGTAGCTGTATCTTACACCAGCTAGCCTAAGAATTTTATAGGCACGTTGAATTAAAGAAAGAAAGAAAGAATTAATGAAGAGCATGAAAGAATAAAAATATGAAAAATAGCTAGAATCTGATGACATACATCGACAAAAATTAGTTAACGACATTGTTGGTGCGCTTGCTAGGGCCAGATGGAGGCAAGGGACCCTTTGGAAGGAGATTGAGCAGCAAGGGCCTGTACTTGTTAACTTCCTCCCCTTCTGAGACATCATTTCCTCCCGAGAAAGCTAGGTCTGGTCCTTGCTGGATAGCATCGACGTTGTGCAGTAGAGAGCCACCTAAGAGCCTGGCATGTGCAGGTTGAGACATGACCATGACAAGCAAGAGTATCAAGATAGCACCATTGATTTTATTAAATCCAACCATGTTGCAAAGCTTAATCTGCTCACGGAAGCAATGAGAGGGTTGTGAAAACACGAAGAGGTAGGGAGGAAGAAGAGGCTATAATGGTATCAAAAGGTGAGGAATGGACTTGAGTTTTGCGTGTTGCTGAAGACCATAAGCTCTTATAGAGAAAAGTCAGCATTTGAAGGTTCTTCGTAGAAACAATAACGTGTTTCTGACATGGGATTTTGACTTTTCAGGCTCGTTCTTCCCCTTTGAATGCTATCTGCTACGTTGACATTAGAAAAACTCACAAGCCGCAAATCTAACACGCTTTCAAGTCGGTGCATGGCTCTTCGCACATTCGTCCCTGTAGAAGACTGGCCAGTTGAGGGTGGTAGAACTGTTCAAGTCTCCCAGGAGGACCCTTGTTGGTGGTGCCGAACTTGTGAATTTCAGCATCATTTGGCTTGGCAATTCAATCAATTTCTAGATCACTTTCTGGGTTTGGTCCGCAGAGGCATCAAATTTGTTTGTTTTTTTCTACTTCACCAGATGCAGAAAGGCTTGTTTATAAATGACTAGACAGCAGATGTTAAAGAACATGAAATTCTCAATGAATCTTGTAAGCAAAAATCTACAAATGTCTAAGATTTACTTACAATTTATAAACAAATAACAAACAGAGATGTGTTAAACTGATATGACCACTCTTGATGAGGAACTACTCGAAGTTACAACCGTACTATGACCCTCCAAAAAATCACCATCCAAACCAGCTGCCCATCTTTTAACAATCCTCAACAAACTAGAGGCCTTCCTTCTTGCTCTCATTGTCCCTGATCCCATCAATTCCCATATAATCCTTTCGATTCCAATTATCGTTGCAAGCTCTGCCACCATCTCTGCTCCCCCTTTTCGACAGATGGTCACGAGTGTTGCCACCGCGCTTTCGCGAGCTGTCTCCGATCCTTCCCTCATCAACGTGCCCAACTTCTTTATCGTGTTGTGCGCCGCTGAAACCGCCATTATCCCTCCTCTCTTTACCACCATTTCGAGTATCGCCGCGGCTTCTACCGGCAGCACATTGATCATGTCTGTAACCACATCAACCACTCCTTCCTCAACTAACCTCCGGGCTGCCTCTCTATCCCCCACCAAATTCAAAATTGCCACCATTGCATCCCTCTTGGGACCCGGGGGCCCGTCTTTGGCTAAATCCATCAACCCCTTGATGACACGTGTCTTCCTCCCAAGCAGTTTCCTATGGGAGTGCACACAAGATAGGCTGAATATAGTTGCAGCTGCATTCCCCTTCGCCTCCCACGTGGCACCCGTGCGTAACACCTCGATAACGCCGTTCAAAGCCTTGCCGTTTTCCATGATCTTTGTTTTGTTCGCTTCAAGAATGGAAAGATTTAACATAGCTGTAACGGCATTTACTTGTAAGTTCAGAGACCCCACACCTACATCCGAACCTAAATATCTCGCGAGCACTGGGATAGCCCCAGCCTCAGCGATGCAGGCACGGGAATCCGAATTGCTCTTTGCAAGTGTACGAAGCTCATAAATAACCCCGTTAACCGCTTCCATTGACTGCGAGGCCGCCATTTTGTTCACCAGAAACGACGCCGTCATCTTAGCAGCCTCAAGCGCTGCCTTGTTTTTTATAACGCCGTTAGTTCTGTTATTATCTTCCGCCGTTTCAAACGGTATTTTCATCTCTCGGCACCACATGGCTATCAAATTCTTCAAAGCTTGGTTGGGTATCAAGCTGGTGTGGACCAGGGCCTGACCTGTCTTCGGACACGTGTTGTGCCCTGATTCAATCCAGAGAGCAATACTCTCTCGATCGTAAGTCTGACCTGTGGCCACCACAACTGGGTCCCGCATTAAATCCAGGCTTATCGGACACCGGAAATCTGCCGGGATGTTCGCATCCGATGCTAGTTTTTTCGTCCTGCTATCAGACCCCGGTGTCAATGGCTCGAACAGCACACATTTCGCGTATCGAACGAGTCCTATCAAAGCAATCACGTCGGACTTCGCTTTCTCATCTTTTTGGTTTTGAACTTCATCTTCAAGATTCTCAATTTCTTCTTTGCAAGATAAAGAATTGGTTAACCCCAGGAAATCAAAAATCTCTGCCAGCTTTGAGTTATCAGGGACAATCTCCTTCTGAATCCGATCAAGCATTGTCAACACGTGGAGCCGCAAACTGGAATCTCTTTCATCGACGAAGACTTTTGCCTGGGAGCATTGTTTCCTTAACAGCAAAAACAATTCTTCAACGTCTTCGCTAACCTCGACTTCCTTGACAGAAAAAATATCCAGAAGTGTTGCTAATTCTACCGTCAGCTCATGGAAATTATTAGCAACCGACGCGCTTTGCATCAATAGCCACATCTTGCTTCCATTCACGCAGTCCTCAAGCAAGGTCTTGATTCTTTGAAGAACTAGGTACATTTCTTCGAAGCATAAGAGAGTTGGAGATAAAACTAGAATTGGTTTTTTCAAAAGTTCCTCGAATAAGATTGCGAGGATCTTCGTTTTACGTATGATGGACAAAGAGTTACGTTTCAGAAGAAACTGAAGAGGTTTGAGAGAAGATATTTCTTGGGAGAGTAGAAAGAGAGATTGGAGAAGCCTCTGGTCAGAAAATTTTGGTGGAATAAAGGCTCCGGCTGATGGCCTCCGTTTTCTTGGCGGGAAAACTTGAGGAGGAATTGCCATGAAGTGTTATAACAGGGAGTTTTCTTTCAGAAACAAAGAGAAATGATTTCAAGGGATGATGATGAAGATGGTAGGGTTTTCTTGGCTTTCGAGTGAAGGAGAAGATTATGGGCTTGGTTTTCTTAGTTGAAGGACAAGCTGTTTCTTACAACGTTGGGCACTTCTTCTTTTTTACAATTCTCCTAATTTGTTTTCTGGCATTTGTTTTATATAAGCTGAAAAATGAAGGCCAGAGAGGTCAGCTGTGATGAACAGCGATTCAATTACAATTGATATAGCTGGTTTTTGACTGCTTGTGCTTGTTCTTGTTAATAATAAAATGGATTAATATTGTGTTCAATTGAGCCCGCAGGTCGTTTACTTGGTAATTAGCAAGATTTTTTCAACCCTCTTTTTTTTTTTTTATTGAAGTTAATAGTAAACTGAACTTGATCAAAAAAGGCTGTGTGATGTTCTGGATTGAATCGACCAAACATATATAGATGGTTTTATTTTATTTTTTAAATTGCGAGCAGTCGGTTTTTTTCAGATTAAGGATAATTAACATCTTTAAAATTATTTTTTAAATAGTTTTGATATAAATTTCTTAAGAATATAAAAAAAAATTAAAAAAAAAAAGATCATTGAACCAATTTTTTCAATCCAAAGATTAAAAAAAAATCATTGAACCAATTTTTTCAATCCAAAGATATTTTTACGTAAATATCACCATTTATCAAGTAACACAAACAAATTCTATGGTACTCATGTAATTATAATTAGGATATTTAATACACGTTTGGTAATGTACTATATTGTATTTTTTAAAATTGAAAAAAAATATTAAAATAGAGTTATTTCATAATTTTTTTACATCAAAATCATTAAAAAATACCTAAAAAACATTAATTTTGTTTTTTTAATTACAGACAATTATAACAAAAAAGAGAGAAATAAATATAGAAAGAAGAGAGAAACACACACTAAATTCTTTCTTAAACACAAAATACGAAATAGTATATAGTTGCGGGCAAGTACACATTAATTAATTTGCACATGCTATAGTGTGTTTTGTGCAAACATATGAACTGGTATGCACTTACTTATCATAGCATATAATATTGTATACAATAAGTTGTAATGTAGGCGTACGGTGGCTGTGGACCAGTTCTGTATGGATCGTCACCTATCCACTATTTGTCAATAAATGAATAATTCATGCATTGTTTGCTGGTTCCTTTATCATGCATTGCTGGCTAGAGCTAGCTTTTAAAGATACTTTTACTTTCTTTTCTTTTCTTTTCTTTTTTTTATCTTTTTAAAAAGATAAAGATATAAATGTCTAAAAGAATGTGTGTTCCATACCTAAACTTCAATGATTAGACCATGGGGTTGCCAGGTTCTTGGGTTAAGAATATTTAGATTGTACATTTAATTATATTTAAGAAAAGTTATGAATTGTTGTTTTTTTCTTAGAAAATGTTTTAATATATAGTTTTTAATGAAAACCATGTAAAATTATGATGTATATATGTTTATTAAATTTATATTTAAATTAAAACATAAACAACCTTACACCACACAACATAAACAAATAGAGTTTTTGACCGACTTTTTCTTATGGCAAGTATGCTAATGTCAATATGGTGAGATCCTTTCAAAGAGCTAACAAGAAACAGTCCTATGATTAATGAAGGTGTATTATTAATAACAAATACACTAAAAAGGTGATTTTCTCTCATTTTACTATTCACTGCAAAAATAAAAAATAAAGTGACATATATCGTCATGTAACAAATATAATTAAAGATAAGATGATTTTCTTGTAACGTACTTTATTATTTACTATAACACTAGCCTTGGTTACAAAATTTAGTTGTTTTTAAATAAGGGTGTTTTGATATTTTTATATGTTGCATTAGTTATTATTGATTTATTTGAGGATTTTTTTTTATATTCAACATTTTAATAAATAGTAAAATAATCAAAATACCCGTAAAAATAAAAAAGAAATTCAAATATTTTAATATTTTTATTTTTTAATACATGTACAATTACACATGTATCTTTATATCCCAAAAATTTAATTCATTAAAAGTAGGGGTATTAGCATTCTCTTATTTTGATCCTTTTTTTTTTTGTTAATTATTAGTTTGGTTGAGAGTAGCGGTATAATTTAACATTAAAATAATATTTTTTTTAATTAGAAAACATTGATGGCTTATGCACAGCATACGCTAACGCGTGGGAGCTTAATAATAATAAATTTTAATGAGAGTAACGGTATAATTTAACATTAAAATAATAATTTTTTAATTAGAAAACATTGATGGCTTATGCACAGCATACGCTAACGCGTGGGAGCTTA